GTAGTACTCGTGAAGGATCCGCCTCTGCTTTCTGTAATAAGGATACATGAAACATATTGTGAATTTTATCCAAATATATAAGTAGTTACAGTTGATAAACAACCGGTCCAATCCTTTCTACAATTTCAAAGTGGCCAATATATCTTGGGGCGAGTTTCTCTTTCATTCCAAATCGAATGACGCCCTCCCATGATGCCACCTTTAAGAATACTATGTCCTATGTTTGAAACTTTAAACGTCTCCTTCAATTGTCTGAATCCCTTTTCTGTCTGTTTTGAGCTTCCTTCATTTTCTCTGTTTAATTAGTCTTGCCTTATCAGTCATCAATTATACTATTTTAGGACCCACTTGTGGTTTTTTTTTTAACTTGGGACCCTCTTGATATAGGGGAGATTTTATTGAAATTTCAGTAAACAATAAATAAGTTGGAAAAAAAAATTATCTATAAATTTTGGTAATATGATTGTTTTTTTAAATCTTGAAAATAAGAATATTACATTGATAAACTAAATTGAAAGAAGGATGAGAGAGTTCTTATTGCATGTTTCACACATGTTAAGGCATGAGGAAAGCCTGACACCTTGAGGTGATGTGTGTGCCTTTCTCTATGCTTTGATTGGTGGCTTTATTGATTCCGTTGCAGTCGATGAGGCAACCTCTTCTCTATAAAGTGGTGTTACAATAGGAGCTCCAGTGTGACTCCAACAACTCATTCTCTTTTTCTTTTTTTTTTCTTGATTTCTATGTTTGGCTTATTCATTTCTTCCTTCCGAGCCTCAATGTTTTTCTATTCTTCAATTATAGTCCCTTAACTCTCAATCTTTAGAAAAATGAAGAATTCAATCAATATCTTACAAAATTAAGTACAACCCTGATGCCGAGATATTTTTCTAATATCAAGAAAACTATATAAAATATAAATTAAAATCAATTATCAATCATAAATCCCAATAAACATATAATCTAAGAATTAAATAAAAAAATAAAAAAAATCAATAACCTTAGTATAAAAAGGGACCAAAACACAAAAAATATGTAATCAAATAAACTAAAAATTATGTTAATTAATAAATCAATAAAAAAATATTAATAGTACCTAAAAATAAAACTTGAAAAATCGAGAGATAAATGTAAATCAAGATATTGAATCTTAAAAAAAAAGATATTAAATTGATTAAATAAAATAAAAAGAAAAAATAACATGTAAAGCTACATATATTAAAAATATTATCTAACAATAAATATTTTTTATTTTAAAAAATATAGTTTATCTATATAAAAGATAAAAAAAAAAACCCAAAGATGAACAAAAAAACCACTTTGAAAAATTAAACACATAACAAAAAAATTAATATTTTTTAAAAGAGGTCCCTGGAACAAAATAAAAGAAAGAAGGTTTTGTCTTTAAAAGAGATCCCTAGAACAAAATAAAAGAAAGAAGGTTTTGTCTATTTTTTTTATTTTTAGTTTTTTAACTGTTCACATCACTTTATTTCATTTCAATTGCATTATTTAAAGCTATATTTTCATGGCAACCATAATTATCAAACCCAGTGTGGGAGTTGACCCAACTAAGAGGTCAAATCCTACGTTACACAGGTGGACTTGGGTCAACATGAAAAAATTTAAAAAAAATATATTTGAGGTTTTAATATTTTTTTTGAAAAAATTAAGAAATAATCCATTTGTATATATACTATACATGTTGTAAACAATTAAGTTTAAAAGATTATTTCAAAAGATTTTTTTATCCTATATTGAAAAAATATTATCTTATTCTTTTAAGTTGAAGTATTTAAATAAAAAAAATTATTCTACATTGAAAAAACATAAGTTTTTCCTTGTGAACATAAAGTATTTATATTAAAAGGTTTCAAATCTCACATTGTAAAAATAAAATATTCTTTTAATATCTATAGTGAACTTTAAAATAAGTTAGCAACTAAAGGAAAAATATGAAAACAAAAGGGTCTCTAAATAGGAAAAAAACCACATTTGAGAAAGGAAAAAAAAGGGGTTTTTATTGAGTTTTTGTCAAGTCACTCGACTTTTAGGTTGACCCTTACTCTAGGCCAATTACAGACCCGAATATTGAATGAAGCAGACTTGGCCAAGGCCCCGGGTTACCCAGAAAAATTTAAAAAAAATATTTGATGTTTTATTATTTTATATGAAAAAATTAAGAAACAATTCATGTTAATATAGGCTATACATGTTGTAAATAATTAAGTTTAAAATATTATTTATATAGTGAACTTTAAAAGGAGTTAGTAACCAGCTAATATATATATATATATATAAAGATTTCTACTATGTTTTTGCTGGGTTACCCGAGTTCCAGGTTGACCCAATGGGTCGACCGGTTTACTCCAAGCAAATTGTAGACCTAGAATTTGAATTAAACAAACTCGATCGATGTTATTGGACTCTGTTAGGTGTCAAACCCAAACTTGGATTTAGCTGCAAATCAGACCTGCTTTTGAGTTTGGTTAACCAATTAGATTCAACAACAATTTTTAATTAAATACAAAAAAAAACAACACTCTCTATAAGCACTACAATGCAAATACTTTTTATATTTAGGATGTCGTTTATGGTATCATTTATGATACAATGAGTTTATATCCACAATATATATATACAGTGTCCAAGTATAGTATAATAGTAGCAAATTTAAAAAGTGTAATTGTTGGCTGGGTGTCAAACCCAAACTTGGATTTAGCTGTAAATCAGACCTAATGCTTTTGAGTTTGGTTAACCAATTAGATTCAACAACAATTTTTAATTAAATACAAAAAAGACAACTTTAATTAAATACAAAAAAAGACAACACTCTCTAAAAGCACTACAATGCAAATACTTTTTATATTTAGGATGTCGTTTATGGTATCATTTATATCCACAATATATATACAGTGTCTAAGTATAGTATAATAATAGCAAATTTAAAAAGTGTAATTGTTGGCTTATAAAAAAGACTGATGTTCTTACAAACTGAACGGTTAAATACTTGTAAAAAAACCAAAAAAGGAGAATAATTTAAAGATGAACTTCAACTTTTCCATTGATTGAGCTTGTGCCTTTTGAAAAAGCCTAGAACCTCGGGAGAGACCAGATAATTGACCTCCACTCAACTCCAGAGCCATGGTGGATCTTCGCGGAAGGTGTGAGAGAGAAGGCCGTAGAAAGTAGAATCCAATGAATTGCATAAAGACAACAAACATACATAATTTTAAAGGAAAAAAAAAAGACATCAATGTGGTAGTCTTTTTTATCAGCATGATTAAGGCATCAAAATTCGTTTATTTAGCTAAAATGTTGTTGCTTTTAGCAGCCGCTACCTCTTTCAGAATTTCAGATTGAGGATTTTATAGTTTTGCTCTTTCAAGTGAAAATTTGTAATACACACACATACATATATATATGGAAAAAAAAAAAGCAACAATAATGTATAGAAAATAATGATAAATTATAAAATGATTTTATAATTTTAGCGACAATAGTGTATAAAAAATAATTTTTTTTAAAAAAATATATATTATTTTATAACAGATTTATTTAAAACGACAATAGCGGTTATTTCAATTTTAAAGCAAAAATGTCCTCACCAAATTGAAATGAGTCCCTTTTTTAACCAAAACCCATTGTTCAAAGCCTGCAAAAGTTTCATTCTTTAATGTGTAAAATAACATTAGCAAAGGAGGAGTTTGACTCAGGCGACGATGAACACTGAACCTAACAGCCGAGGAGACGATCGATCTCCGGTACCCATGAAGAGTAGATTACCGATCCCGTCACCTTATCTTCTATGATTACACCACTCACGAATCTATCCATCCAATCTCTTACTGAACTTTTTTTTATTCTTTTACCTGTCCTTTCTTTGATTCGAGGATAGATGCCATGCTGCTCTATATCGCCCGCTACCTTCCATTAAAGTGATTTCATTGTCGATGTTCATGCAGCAAACAGAGGAAAATCAAATTGTTGGTGAAGCAAAGCAGGGAATGAAAAATGCTACATGTATTAAAGAAAGAAACTTTTGTAGGATTTGAATAATGGTCTTGGTGGAATAGTTGGTTTTTTTTGGTGGTTTAAAAGTGATTTTTTTAAAAAAATTATTTTATTATTTTATTTCAAATTAACTTTTTGATTTTTTTAATTAATAACGATTATTTAATACAGATGCTAACATTAATAATGATTATTTAATATAATTACTATTTTTATTAATGATTATTTAAAATTGAAATGGGTCTATTTATTATACTGTTGTTATTGTCATTAACGGTTGTTTAATACAGACACAAACAATAATAATATTTATTTAATAAAATTGTTATTTTTATTAGTAGTTTTTAATAAAATTGTGTTTTTCATAAGTGGTTTACCTAATACTTTTCTATTTTATGTTATATACTGAAATCTTTTATCAAACTGTGCTCGTTTGATAAAAGAGTAAAAGACCCTACCGTCACAAGCTACAGATATTAACTTGTATAGAATCTTTTGCTTCTCATGGAAACATGATTAGCTAAGTATGATATTATTTGAAATTGCAGTTTAATGATGTTTTTTTTTTAAAAAAAAATTATTTTCTTCAAGTTATTTTTTAAAATATTTTTAAATTATTTTAATATGCTAATATTAAAAATATTTTTTTTAAAAAAAAAAAAACATGTTCATTTTAAATTGATTTTAATCCCCATCCCCCGAACATGTATATAATTATTTCTAATGAGAATTTTATCCTCGAAATTGATGTGCCATACCTGTTTCGGAGAATAAATAGAGGTATTTGTCCATAATCTCGGATTCCCTCTCCCACATCTCCTTTCATCTACAAATTCCTCCACAGTACTCTCACTAAAGAAACTCTTTTATTTCCAAGCACCTTTTCCCTCCAATCCATGATTTTGACTAGCTTGTTCTCTAGAGTTAAACCCTTAAACAGAAGATTGTAGAATTGGAGAGAAAAGTAAACAAACTATTAACATCTTTACCTTTTCCTCGACCCCAAGCGATGAGGTCTTGGCAAAAGTTTCTGTCCAGTAGCGAGCTGTGCCAACAAAGGTCTGGAAGTCTCTAAGATACTGCAATATCCATAGATACCAAGTTGACATGCGAAAATATTTAACTGGAAAAAGAAAATCTACTGAAAAGAAAAGCAGTAATAACCAAAGTAAAATAGCCTCTGAGATATCGCATTTCAATGAGCCAAAAAACCAAGCCCAAGAGAGGTATTTAAAACATAACCAGTAACAAAGAATGGCAACGAACTAGACCTGTTGCGCTACAGCAGCATCTTGAGGGTCATCAGGTTCAGGAGAGAGAGTAATGCTTGGACAGAAAGAATTGCTGTCTTTAGAGTAAGTGCCTATCAGCTCAAGCACAGACTGAATGCAACTATGATGCATCAGTGTCAACTAATAAACAATTAGCGAACAACTGATAATTTTAAAAGCTAAAGATTGATCATGTCAAGAACAAATAAGGCAATCCAATAGTTTGTGCAAGTTCAGCTTAGACTGGAGATATATAAGCTCCACATTATAGTAAATTTCACATATCTTGTGCAACCTATTATTGCCTAGCTACAAAGTGTACAAAACCTTAAAGAGAAGAATTAAATGACCATGTTCTGGTCATAAATAAAATTGATATTAGTATCACTGGGTTCATCTTAGAGAGAAGAATTCAATGAAGATGGTTTTATTATTTAATCATGCTGAAAGATTAGATCACAATCCAAAAAGTTTGTTTTGTTTTAATATGATTTTGAGTTTTAGACTAATTAAAGTCTTTTAGTATTGAGAGTGAGGTTGTGGAGATTCCTATGATATTCGCTACTAAAAAAGTGTTGGAATATGGGATTCTAAAAGCTAGAAAATCCATATCCTAATTTTAACATTTATTGTTTGACTCCATGTTCATCACAGAGTAGTAACCTAGGGTTGTATTATTATTGTTTAATCTTAAGTAATGGACTTTGTACAATTTTTTAGATTGGTTCTGTGAAGTAATTTGAATTGTATGTAATCTAACTTATCAAATAATGATATGTATCCTAAATAATTCAGTTTTGAATGTATGTATTTAATTAGTAAAAACACTTTTAATATTTATTGTTACGTGTAATATCTTTATAGCTTTATATAATATTGTTTTGGATTATCCAGATGATTGATTATGATAAGTTAATGATGAAAACAACAAAGTAGTTGTCATATTATGGTAAAAGAAATGATTTAGGATGGTTGGACCGAGAATTAAGAAATTGTTTTGGATGTGTACATGGATGTCCTAGATATTATGGAACTGTGCTGAAATTTCGATTGTAATTTTGGTAGAGTACCAATTGATTTTAAGCACTAATACTATATTTTTACCTTATCTTAAAATAAGGGACATTACAAACCTAGAAAAAAATCAATCAAAAACTTTAGGACTGAATCAAAGAGGTTTCAAAAATCAAAGGACTAAACTGAAAAAACAACAAAAAAGTGACAAATTTGAAAAACAAATATTGGACATAATCAAAGAGATTTTAAAAATCGATTGTAACATTCCATTTATGGAATAAAAAAAACAATCACACAATCAAAATTTATGGGTACATGTTTTTTTTTTTTGCCGACTTATTTATGGTTTAATAAAATTTTGACAGGGTCTCCCCTATACCGGGAGGGTCCTAAGTTATCGATAATTTATCTTGTACATATTTTATGCTCATTCTACAGTCATAAGATATTCATATTGCATCGCAACCATAATCATCACTATTCACAAGCATAATGGCTCTCATATTTATTTTTTTTCAATATTATCTATTCTTTTTCACCGGGTACACCCATCCTACTACCATGTCCTAAATTTAGAGAGGTTATTGTCGACACTATAATTCCTATTAGTGTCATTAGTCGCTCTTACCCAGACCGACTAATCAAATCCTTGGTAATGCTGACACCAACTTACCAGTTGGTGCCATTAAGTATTTCCAACATGAAATAGTCAATCAATTCTTTTCTGCCTTACCTTGGAGATTTTTCTGGTAATGTTGATGTCAAGGTCTTTTGACATCATTAGCTTCCTTCTTGAGAAGTCTGGTAATGCTGATGTCAAGGTCTCTTGACATCATTAGCTTCCTTCTTGAGAAGCTAATCATATTATCATGGGTTTGTCGATACCGACATTGTCTATCAATATCATTAACTATTCTTATCTCAAATAGTTAATCAAGTTGAAGATTCATCATATTTCCATCAAGATCATGCCAATGTTAACAAATCTTGCTAACATCATCAGTCACTCATATTCGAGATCAACTAATCAAGTTCAGAGGTGGTTGTTTTGGATTGCTCATTATAGTTCGTTATTTGAAATCAAAGTCCATAAGTCCATGACCAAAATCAGATTTCAACCCAAGTTTGTTTCATCATATCTTTCTTTTCTTTAACTTCATTCGCAAATGTTAAATTCCAAAATAAAATAGAATACTAGTTTCACTATTAATTAAGGGGAGTATAGGTGTGAAACAACTACCTACCACCGATGTTCAATTTTCATCCCTTTGTTGTTGTTGTACTCCCCCCGCGGTTCCTCCTGAATTCACAAATACACCACATTAGTTCATGTCCAATTTTTATTTTGCAAATAGCAAGGCAACAACAATAACATTTACTCTTTATGTTTCATTGTTTTAAATCATTACGCATATTATCAACTTTCTTTTCAAATATGGTTTATCCCTTTCCAGTATCAAGATTCGATGTTCCAAAAATTTTGGTGGAAAGGAAACCGGTTTCTACCCCTATCACGGCTGAAATTTCTCATTTTATCAATTCTTGCTGAATCTACTAGCAGGGGCGGCAATTCAACCTTTCCTAATAAATGTATTTATATCTGGAGTTATAGAGCTCCAAATGGGGCTAAGTCAGATCATTGAAAAGTTAACATATCATGCTACAATTTCTATGAATAGATTTTCCCAAATTTTATTGTTCTGAGGCCCGAATATCCCCTAAAATAGGAGTGACAAAACTATCCAGATTTTGTCAGCGATTCCTAAGCGAGTTTCCCGCCAACCTCACTTTTCTTTTTCTTCTACAATATTTATTTTCTATGTTTTCCTACATCTCATGATTCTTCCCATACCAAAATTATGAGCTATACCCATGGTTAATAATTTTGTTTTTGCTTTATGCAACATGCATCAAACTCGCGAAGTCTCCTATTATCAAATTTTCTACACTTTTCTCTATTAGCACGCTTTCTACTATAATTGATTCATGCATAAAAATACATAACACACCAGAATTCTTCTTCCCTCCTTCACTTGGCTCTTGGCTAAACATGGCCTAAAGGAACTAAGGGTCCCTTTTCTTTTTTTATGCACTCATTTCATCATTATTCATGCCATAACAATATGTTTTAATGTTCTTATGAAGCTGCAAGGAAAAAAACTCAGAATTTCTCCTTTCCCTCTCTAACCTACTATAGTCGGCCACTCATGCTCCATTGACCATTGGTCTTGTCTTAATTTTCTATGCATAGTTTCATCTTTTTAGGCAATGTATGCTATTTTAATCCACTTAATTCCAATCATTTCTGCATTTTTCCTAATTTTTACTCAGGAATTCTATTTTTAAAGAACTTCAAATTAGTGCACAATTCTTAATTGAATTTAAATTAGTTTTCCTAATTAGTTTAGAGCTACATACCTGGAGGAAATTTAAGTTAAATTTATGGTTTGATTAAAATTTATTAGCTCCTTTTTCTTCACATGCCGCTAACCCTCCCTTTTTTTTCTTTATAAATTCTTCACTTTTCTTCTTGTTAATCCTTTGCCCAAATGTGTTTTCCCCACCTAGTAATTTTAAGGCTTGTGTAGGTATATTAGTTTAGGTGTTTTCTCTTAGGTTTGATGAAGGAAAAATCTGAAATTTTTCCTTCCCCTTTTCTTCTTCTTATGTCTAGCCATGGGAAGGAGAAAAAAAGGTATTTATAGTCCCATTTTATTTTAATTCTACTTTAGCCCCTTTTCTTTCCTCTCTTTTACAATTTGGTCACTCTTTTCCTATTCTTATTCCTATTTCCTTTTTTATAGAAAGAATCCTTCCTAACCATTTTAAATTGGTTTTAATTTCCCCTCCCCCAAATATATATATATATATATATATATAATTATTTCCAATTTTCTTCTCTTTTTTTTTGTAAAGTTTTATTCTCGGGTTTCACATTCTCCCCTCTTAACAAGAATTTCATCCTCAAAATTTATGTGATATACATGTTTTGGAGAATAGATAGGGGTATTTCTCCTTAATCTCGGATTCCCTCTCCCACGTCTCTTCTTCTATCTATAAATTTCTCCACAATACTCTCACTAATAAAGCTTTTTTATTTCTAAGCACCTTTTCGCTCTGATCCATGATTTTGACTGGCTTGATTTCTAGAGTTAAATCCTCCCTTACTTCAACGAAAACTGGAGGTAGTACTCATGAAGGGTCCACATCTGCCTTCTGTAATAAGTATACATGAAATATATTATGAATTTTATCAAATACATAGGTAGTTACCGTCGATAACAACCAATCTGATCCTTTCTATAATTTTAAAGGGGCTAATATATCTTGGAGCGAGTTTCCCTTTCATTCCAAATCAAATGATGCCCTTCCACAATGCCACCTTTAAGAATACCATGTCCCATATTTGGAACTCCAGAGGTCTCCTTCGATTGTCCGAATAACTTTTATGTATGTCTTGAGCTTCCTTTATTCTCTGTTTGATCAACCTCACCTTGTCGATCATCAATTGTACTATTTCAGGACCCACTTATGGTTTCATTTTTTTTTAACTTGGGACTCTCTCGGTATAGAGAAGATTCTGTCAAAATTTCAGTAAACAGTAAATAAGTTGGCAAAAACAATTACCCATAAATTTTGGTAATATGATTGTTTTTTTAAATCCTAAAAATGTGAATGTTACATTGATGGACTAAATTGAAAGAAGGACATGAGAGTTCCTATTGCATGTTTCACACCTGTTAGGGCATGAGAAAAGCCTGACATCTTTGGGTAATATGTGTGCCTTTCTCCATGTTTTGATTGGTTGCTTTATTGATTCTGTTGCAGTCGACGAGATGACCTTTTCTTTATAAAGTGGTGTTACAATACGAGCTCCAGTGTGACTTCAACAACTCATTTTTTTTTTCCATTTTTTTCTCTTTTTTTCTTTCCTTGATTTCTATGTTTGGCTTATTCATTTCTCCCTTCCAAACCTCATTATTTTCCTATTCCTTAATTCTAGTCCCTTGACTCTCAATCTTTAGAAAAATAAAGAATTTAATCAATATCTTGCAAAATTGAGTTCAACCCCAA